AACTATCCCTATAAGTTCATATACCAGTAAGTTGCATGATTAAAGATCTTTAAATGTTGATATCTACATAAAATAAACTTGCATCAGAAAATATCCATCTCAACATTATAATTTGAACCGCTAGCCTTGACATCCCAGATCTCACCAGAACCCAAACGCAGATCAACACCAAACGAAGTATGCGCCTTGCAGATGCATATTTAATAAAGATCTAATTTATTATTGATTTTTATGTTATTTCAGACAGCTCAAGTCCTGCATCCATCAAAGAATGTTACAACTCGTATCTCCAGGGGTCCGGCTCAGGATTAGAGATGCACGAGCTTAGGATAGAGTACATTATCTCACACATAGACAATATGAGATCACCACAGTCCAATATCAATGGGGCGACCTGCTTTTAAGGTAGGTGTGACACTCGCTGTGAGACTTGATATAGACATGTCAATTCTTCTGAAATAGCCAATATAATCCCTGATAATAATGCTCATCGTTCGGACTTATTAATATCCTCTTGTATCATCCATTGGACATGCTATTTCAGGGCTTTATGTTGCACATAGAGTGAAAACAATATTTACACCTCTTAATTTTACACCTCTTTTGACAATTGTTATCACATTTCATGGTTATAAAATAAAGTTTTGAAATTATAAATCACAGAAAACTGAAAAAGTCTGAGTTTTTTATAGTAAATATATTTTTGGAATGGAATTTAGTGCAATTTGTAAGTGCAATAACTATAAAATAGTTTTGAAATTATAAAGAGCAATTGCAAGACAAACATTTTAAAGAGGCACAAAACTAGAAGAAAAATTTGGTTGCACTTTACTTAAAGCCTTTATGTATAATGCATTATAAAGGATTATTATTAAAGGGTGTAATGCATTATAATTATTATGTGCATTGTAATACATTATATCTTGTCATAAATAATTGTAACCGAATTTAAAATGCATAGTGTAACAATGAATTGATTAAGTGTTATAATATATTAACTAGGGTTACAATTATTAATGAAATTGTACAATTAATGTGCATTACAAGGCATAATTAAATTAAAACTACTTTTATAATGCATTATACATAAAAGCGCTAAGTAAAGTGTTACCAAAAATGTAGTCAATTTTCCACTTGTTTCATTAATAATAATTTTTAGAAACCATTTTATTGAGATTACACTCACAAAAAGCAATTTCTAGCTAATTAAATATTTTATAAATTAATAAAAGTATTTAATTAGATAAATATATATATTAAATAAAATAGTTTATAAATGAATGGAAAAAATTTACTCATTCTAAACATTTGAAACATGACTTCTCAGGGCCTGGAAACCACAATTCCCTGATATTTCCATATTTTCCACGACCCTGTAAAAATCATAAGATCGTGAATGAAAGATCTACACATGCTTTCCACAAATACGTTGTGACTGTAAAAACAAACAACCAACAGAGTCTGCAAATACTAAAGACACACAACACAGATGGCATCTGTCCTTTCTTTCACCCAAAAGAGATTTGATGCCCGCCATTAGAGGATGTACTTCCTTGTCCAACATCCAATGTTGTGTAAGACTCTCCCTCTCCATTGGCTCTTCTGGAAATGAGATCGATACTCCGTGGAGAGACAGTGACCTTTTTCCTGGCCGGCTGATGGATTTGAAGGTTAAAAAAGGCATAAAATATTTTAGCCAGTCACCATCCCTCTAGAGAGCAGAGTGGGGAGGAGAGAGAAGGGAAGGGAAGGCTGGGCTATTGGGTGAGAAGGTTTTTTTCAATTTTAGACATTATAGCAATTTTCCTGATGTCGCTTTTAATTTAGGAGACGAGCAGAGAACACAGCAGTGTTTCGCTTGGCGGTCTATGTGTGTGTGCGGGCGTAGTGCTCCAATGAGAACTTTTATTAGATTCACGATGCAGGATAATTAAATAGGCTGGCTTTGGTGGTGTCGTGAAGGGAAAGGATGGTTGGAAACAACACAGCCACTTAAGGCAATCCCACTGATCAATATAATAGAAGCAAAGCTGTGGGTTATTACGGAAAAGCCAGTGATGCATGGAGAAATTCATTCTTTTCTCTGATGCTGAAAAATAGAGATTACAGAGAAATTGTTCCACTTTTCAAAGTCATGAGCGAAGCAGGAGGAACCGTTAATGGTGTTCCAGTGCCAATGTTCATACATACTAGGGCTGGGCGATATAGCTAAAAAATATATCAACGATATATGTTTCATATCGTTCGGTATCGATAATTATTGACATTTTTTATAACCTTTTTTAAAACAGAGCAATAGAATATTCTTTTTAAATTTAACCACTGTATTTTTTATTTGCACACTTTACTAAGACAAACAACAAATATATATATATATATCTTTTTTTTTTTTTTTTTTTTTTTTTTGTCAGTTTCGCAATGCTAATTGACCATAGTTTCATACTGTATAAAAAGGTACTGTAATTTGATTTAAAGGAATCCACCCCCCCAAAAAAGCTAAATATTTAAAACATTAAAATGCAACGTCACTTACATCATTATCACCGCATCTTGCGCACTACTGATGACGCTCCCTGACGCACTCCTAACATTCGATTGTACCATTTTTGCATTCAAATGCAAATGTTTATTTTAAATTTGACTAATATTAATTTTTTTTATTCACAATCTCCTCATCACAGGCAGGCCCAACACTCAATTCAGCATGTGTTCTGTTTGTGTGAGCTGTCTGCGTCACTCATAGCACGTGCCTATATCATGCACTACATCGAACATTTTTTATATCGTTATCGATGAAGGTATACCGTCGATAAATATCGATACCGTTTTATTGCCCAGGCCTAATACATACTATGTGGATATGCTTCAGAAGTCAGCTGATCCTTAATGAAAGTAGAGAATATGTATTTCTTTCCCCTTGAGTGATTTGAGAATTATTGTAATTGCCATATGTAGTACTATAGATTTTCAGTTGAATAATAGACATTAGGATTGATTTGTTTTAGGATTGAACGTTCGCTCGCATATACAGTGTCTCTTCAGTCACAAAAATGCAAATGCCCAACTGCAGTGATTTACTGTGTCTACATATATAGACAACATCAGGGACTCTTGTCTTCCTGTGCATTAATGGTCCTTTTCCTGAAAAAACAGGATGTGGGAAACAGGCGGAGAAAAAGATCAGAGGAAACCTGCACAGACCAGAGGAAGCCGCTGCAGGCTGGCACTTTACCATCTGAGTTTAGTTAAACACTGTCTGAAACAATGAGGTGTCCATAACAATAAGCCATCTAGATGATCAGATTGATTTCCTGTGCTGCCGGGTGGGTGTGGAAGGGCGGGTGGATTAAGTTAGGTGTCAGTCGCGCTCTTGCCCTGACCATTTGGTTGCAGGCTCAGTGGTTTACGTTCCTGACCAGAAATCAGCAGCTGTTGCTTAATATGACTTCAATTCTTGCCCTCGATCTCTCAATCAGTGTGTACTGCAATGAGATACATGCCATGACAGCCGCGTGTTGTGTGGTGACAATTGGAAAAGAACGCAATGGCAATGCAAGATCATATGACCTCAATCACATTACAATGTGGACCAGATTCAAGCAAATCGCAATTTTGACTAGAATCCTTTAGTGCAAAGTCATATATGATAAAATAAAAAACTGAATTAAATATCGACAAAAATATTTTGTGAATAATGAATATATAAAATATACTTAATTTATTACTAAACATTTCATTATAAAATATAAAAAAGTAAAAACATATACCTATACATATAGGGAGACAAAAATATACAGTATTTAGTGAATTATATAGTCATAGTGAATATGACTAAATATATATTATTAAATTACAATAATATATATTTTAATAATTAGATATATGTAGATATTAATAATTATATAATTTAATTATAGCAATTATATCACTATATATATATCTATATAACTGAATATATAATTCTATATATTATTATAAAATTACTATAATAAAATAAACATATACCTATTCATATATAAAATGTTAAAATATTTTGAATATATATTTTCAAAATATATAGATATTATATAATATATAGAATATATATTTAATAATAAATTAAACAAAAAAGTTAAACAAACAGTATGTGTGTGCAAACTATCAATGAATAATCCTAAGTAAATTTCAAGGAAGTTAGTTATGACTAACTGGCTGTACATGCTCAATGTATCTCCACATTCTAACCTCTCTGCATTCCTATATAAAATATAGCTTGTCATATTGCACAATGCAGCAGAATGCAGGCAGTGCCTGCAGTGATGCTCTCCCAGCAGAGACAATAAAGTGCACTAAAGTGAGATGTGTTGCTCCGCTGATAAGCCCTATAATTACATGCATAAATAATTAGGTCGGCAACTCTGCAGGGGTAAGCATCTTGGACTTATGTTCTAGGAATTCAGGTTATGGCCCTGTCTTCACAGAGACTGCTCAATAAGCACAAAGAGGACACTTCTTTAATGGACAGGCTTAACTAAAAATTAAGAACAGAAAACGGCAGCATGCCGTAAATTATTCATGTATACATCCAACTCTCTCTCTTTGTTCTACGGGTGATTTAATTAAGCAAATGATAAATAAAGGAGAAGAACCATTGATGTGGATGACAACAATGCAGGAGCCCAGTAGATCAATGGACCATAATAATGGAGTGACCGGTGGCGGTAATCACCTAAACAGAGAGCCGGTACACAATCAATGACACACTCAGAATCTTCGAGAGTTTGTTTGACTGAGTTAACACTGTTTATTAGAAAGAATTATATAATCAAAATGTCCCTCCTCACTTCATTTCATTCTTTGACTATATTCATGGGTCCGTGGGATTGTGCTTTTTATTATAAAATCTTATATAATTGTAGCATAAATAAAAATGAAGTACACAATCTCATGCAAGATCTGAGAGGAAACTGGAAATAGGAAGAAACAGGAAATAGGGCGAGTTGAAGGAAGTGAGGCCTCACCTGTTTGACACGGTCAGGGTTGACGGTGGTCTGTGGCTGAAGTATGCTAACCGGCTCTGTTTTCTGAGCGCTCTGCGGCATCTCCCGCACCTTCTCTGCGATGAAGTCATGGACGCTGTTCAGCGCCTCTACAGTGCCCTGGATCAAGCAGACACGCTCTGTTGTTCCTAAAGGAGGCACACAAAGAGAATTATAGTTTAGGCTCAGTGTGATTTACCGATGTTGTCTAAAGTGTGCTGTAGAGTGATTAATAAAATGGCATTTTTCTTAGTGCGGTGATGAGGTGAGGGCCAAAGGAGCATGTTTTCTGTGTAATAAACTAAAAACGGGTTTCCAAAAGCCACTGCATTGTTCCAACATGCTTCAGTATTTTCCATGTCAACTTAATTCTTAACTTTAAAAAGATTTCTTTTAAAATCACATAACCAGCCAAAAAATACTTATTCTGAAATGCTTTCTCTTATAGATTAAAATTTAGTGCTGTGAAATCGATTAATCGTGATTAATTGGATCCAAAATAAAAGTTTGTGCTTGCATAACGTGTGTATTGATGCATATATTTAAGAATATAATACATTATTATGTATTATAGTGTTCCTGTGGCTCAGTGGTAGAGCATTGTGTTAGCAGCGCAAAAGGTTGTGGGTTCGATTCCCAGGGAACACATACTGGTAAAAAAATGTATGCCTGAATGCACTGTAAGTCGCTTTGGATTAAAGCGTCTGCTAAATGCATAAATTAATTATAAATTATATACACAGTGAGTACACACATATATTATGTAAAAACAACCTTTTATTTTGGATGCGATTAATCGATTTGACAGCACTAGATTATTTAATAATGTCAGTGTAAGTTCAAGACAATTGCCATATCATCAAATAAATGATATATACATATAAATATACACAGTGAGTACACACATATATTATGTAAAAACAACCTTTTATTTTGGATGCGATTAATCGATTTGACAGCACTAGATTATTTAATAATGTCAGTGTAAGTTCAAGACAATTGCCATATCATCAAATAAAATATAGTAAAATAAAGTCACCCCTAAAATAATTATATGAAGTATACACATATTTAGTGTACAAAATAATATATAAAAAATTTCGAAATTTTTATAAATCTTTTGTTGACATTTCATATATATATAAAAGCACTTTAAAATTCCATTTGTCACCTGTACACGCTCCCTATAGTTATCTATATGCATATATTTCCCATCAACCTCTCATAAACATTTCTGCAGTAACCCAAAGTAGTTTTACTACTGCTGGTGTAAGACTGAGGTCGTTTGGCATGTTCTTGCGATTGATGGTGTTTGGAGCTAACATAGAAGCAGCATAAAATATCATCAGCTGACAACACCAGGAATCACTGATAACAGAAGGCTTTTACTTTCTGTTTTTACTCAACTAAATCTTATAATATTATGGCGCATTGTTTGTATGACAGCCACGTACAGTGATAAGTATCATACGTGTTATCAGAGAGTGAATCCGTCAGTCGCTGGGCCATCAATCATATTACACTAGAGACTACAGACATTGTGTTAGGAGACAAACAACCAGCATTAGAGCATCTGCCCATGTAAATACCATAGATCTATGTACATGCAGACTGAAGTTATGGGAGCAGCTGCAATAACAGTCGCCTGGCAATGCTACTATTTTTGGCAGCCTATTCACAGAAAGCCTTCCATTAGACGCCCCAAAGTCTCCACTTTCAATTAATTCTGATACAATATAGGCATTTCAACTCCAATTCCACAGAACATGAGGTTAAACGCATGCACACACACATACATTCACCATTGTTTTAACGGTGCAGACTCTAAACAAATTAACCGACTGCGGTTCTCTGATTGGTTACTAATCCTTCTACACTATAACATTTTGCCCGAAAGCGTGCTTCTGGGACATTTATTCTCCAAAACCCACCCGAAATCACACTGCGCCATAACAGAGGCAGTCAAATGTGGCCATTCAGATTCAGAAATAAAAACAAAATCCACAAAAGCTTTAAGTAGAAGGGAAGAGTGGGAAAAAACTCAACCAGACTGATCCGAAGCCAGGATCTCTTGGCTCCCGAGAGGCTGGGAAGCGAATCGGCCCTTATCGGCACGGCGCAGTAGGGTTTTCCGGTTTCCTTTTAACCTTCTATTGTTTACTAGCATGAAAATAATTGGGTTCGGTCCCAGACTAGCTATATGAAGCCGTGTTAATACACTCAAATTGAGGAATCTCAGGATCATGGATGGGATCTTACAAAAAAGAAAAGGGAAAAAAAAGCTTTGCAGAGCTCCCGACAGCTGGCGGCCCGAGAGTAATCTGTGGCAGACCAATCGGGGCGGTAGATTATTAGCGCAGAGATCACCATTGTTTTGGCAGGGAGATGAGGGGGGTAGGGTGTGGACAACACCAGTCAAACAACTGTCAGGGAATGAGGGCTAGTTTTGAAACATTACTTATTTTTATGGTATAAACATACATGCAATGAACTCCGCTAAATACCAAATAGCTGCATAGGCACAGTTATGTTGGCATACATGCAGAAAGCTTATGTGTTGTGTTGACTGTCTGGTGCTGGAGAGGTTGTGATGTGTCTGTTGTGAGATACTCAGCGGGATATGGGAAGAGGTGGGGGGAGTTTAGAAAGAGGTCACTGAGGATCTTCTTCCCTCCTGAAAACAGAAGGGTCACTTTCTGACACACGTTTAGGTTTCTGCCCATGGAGCTCATTGAAAGTGATGGGCAGTTTGCTTTACCACCCATCTAAGCACATAAACACCCCCCCTCAACAGCTCATTGCCTCATCAGCGTCCACACCAAGAAATAGTACACATAGTAGGGCTGGGCAATATTTTATATATACACAATATTTTCTATATTGTTTGGCTGACAATATAAAATTAGCCAACATTTACATACTAAATAAGACAGAATGGATATTCTTGGATATTTCAATGGATATTCTTTTTTTTTCCATCAAAGAATCTTAATAAAACATTAATAATAATAATAAAAAATGTTTATTTTGTACCTAATCAGCATATTAGAATGACTTCTAAAGGATCATGTTACACTAAAGACTTGAGTGATGATGCCAAAAATTCAGCTTTGCCATCACAGGAATAAATTATATTGTAAATATATTACAACAGACAACAAAAACATTTCTACTATTATTTCACAGTATTACTGTACTGCATTGCTGCACCCTTGGTAAGAGATTTATTTAAAAAACATTCCAAAAAAACCTACTGACCTCAAACAGTAATGTTTGTATATATGTGTGAGTATATATAAAAAAGGAAGATATAAAAATATAATTCTTCTGATAAAATATATATATAATGGAATGATCCAGAATGTTGCATGTTCTGGCATCTTTGATATGTTTTATTTAAAAAAATATATTAATTAATTTTATTACATTAATCATTTTATTACATTATATAAACATTATTTTATTACATTATATAATTTTGTTCATTTAGTTCATTTTTATTAAATTACTACTGTCTTTCTGCTATGAACTCATAGTTCCTCTAATAATAAAAAAACGAATAAAATAAGTAGAGATATACATATATAATGAATATCATGAAAAGAATTAAAAAAATATTCAGAAATATAATTTTTCTGCATAGCCCTAGTACACAGTGAACGAATGCCAGCCGTGCAGGCGGCAGTTAAAAATTTTGATTCTGATACAGGCCCTGTGAGTCACTGTGCTGCTTCTGAAATTAAGGTTTTGGTCTCCATCCATATAGACACAGAGGCTAGAGACTAATAGACATATTAATCACTGATTTCAGAATAAGTGCAAACTTTGTGCTAGTAGTAGCATTTAAAGAAACACATACGGCTTACAGTACATACAGACCAAGAGTTAAAACTAAGAAAAGGTATTGGGCAGTGTGGAGGTGTTTTATATAGTTGCCTAGGGAATGCCTGCTCGGCTTTGTTCACTCTTGTGCTAAATTGTTTTTATACAGTTGTTAAGTAGATGAGTCATTCATTCCTTGTTCTTGTTTCTAGATGGAGCACCTCTTTGGTGATTTAGCTACTGAGAACATTGACAAACATCATTATTGTTATTATTACTGCACAGGCTATCCTATCTTTCGTTACAGGAATGCCAATTTTTTTTCCCCCAAAAGCATATAAAGCAGAGGAGGGGCTGAGGCCTGTTTTGTGTAGTTGTGTGAGTGATGGAGTGTCTGGAAGGCTGTTCTAAAGAGTAACTCCATCATGACTTCAAAACTTGCAGCAAAAGACAATGTAAGTCCATAAGGGCCCCTAAACAAAACCACATGAGCATGTACAAAACATTAACATGTACTGTATGGAATGTAATGTTAGCTCATTAAAAAAAAGAGCCAATTAAACCATGTAAATAGTGCAACAATGTGAGGTAATGCCTAGATCCTGCTAATTATTTAGAGAGAGAACAGAAACATGGTGGCTCATGGATGGATATTTTGGTCATTTTGTTTACTCGAGTACTAGAGAGATGAATAATTTCATAGAAGGTGGGATGGTTTAAGAGAAGTATAGATCTGCATTATTTTGTTGGTCATTGTACAGACGTCAGACTGACGTCCATGGCCGGACATCATTTTTAAGGTGTGTCAGGTTAAAAATAGTCCAGCAGAAACATGTCTCAAGACCACAGCTCTGTCTAGCTGTTTGAAAAGCAGAATACGTCCTGTGTGAACGCCCTCTAATCTCTCCTCAGAGCGCTGCTGCTGCCAAAGACTCAGAGTCAGTGTTTGCGCAAATTGCTGTCAGAGTGGTAGGTACTGTTGAAAATGACGCCATAACTAAACCCGAAATAAAAAAATATGGCTATTTTTTTTACATTTGCGTGTAGTTTCATCATTTCTGAGTACTTGGGAATTCTTGTCCATCTCTACTTGTTACAAATAAAAGAAGTGTGTATGGAGAAACCAACTTTTACAATTTTGCCATCATTTACTCACCTCATGACATTCCAAACCTGTATAAGTTTCTTTCTTATGTTGAACACAAAAGAAGATATTTTGAAGAATGCTGGTAATCAAAAAGTTGATGGTCCCCTTTGACTTCCATAGTATTTCTCTCCCTACTATGGAAGTCAATGGGGACCAACAACAAAGATTCTTCAAAATATC